AAAAAAAAAAAAAAAAAAAAAAAAAAAAAAAGGTTATCCGTATGTCCTTCGGGACATCCGTTATTTATATTCTTTTAAATGTGACCTGATGGACTAGGGATCAGATACTAAACTGCTCAGAACAGGATACTACCCGTAGGTATACACAGAGAAGATTGGCATGGCCCCCCTGCGCAAGGATGACACGCATTAATCGAGAATGGTAAAAAAAACAAAAGCAAAAATAACATTTTCTGTACCGTTCCAATTTCATCGGATGTCCCGACGGGCGAAAGGCCTTGAGATATCATCATCATTGGGCTGACCGGCCACAGGTAATTTTCAGAATTAATTATTTTTAAATATTTTATATATTCTGTTCATCTGACTGCAGCTGGATGCGAGCTTGGGTCCGTCCTTGAACAGTGTTTTTTTTTTTGTTTTTTTTTTTTAAGCAACTGAGTCCGCCCGTTGCATTTATAGCATTTGTAGCATTTGTAGCATTTATCTCTACCCGCCACGTCATCAAGGAGATGACAGCAGGTTGACAAGTGACACGACAGGATCAGGAAGGAGAAAAAAAAAAAAAAAAAAAACGACGTGGTCCCGGAGACACAAGACGTCCTTCGGGAAATCCGTTAAAATTGGAACGATACAAAGAGATTGGTCCAAGTTTGAGACCAGGTAATAAAAAAAAAAAAAAAGAGATATCATGATGTGGGGATAGGAGTCAGTGCAGAGCGCCCGCCCTCAGAAGAGGGCACACGCAAAAATCGAGAAATAAATCCAACTTCAAAAAATAAATCGAAGTCCCTCTGGACATCCGTTAACATTGGAACGATACAGAGAATGAAGATTAACATGGCCCCTGCGCACTCAAGGATGACACGCATAACTCGAGAAATGGTCCAAATTTTTAATGGGGGATTTTTCTTTTTAATCCAAAAAAAAAAAAAAAGCACAAGAAGAGACCAAACGACGAAAGCGATGGAGGAACAGCAGGTCGGGTAGACGACGTTGATCGACACAGGGCATCGCCACACGCACCACTCTGGAAATGTGCAAAATGACAATGAACTTCCCGCTAGAACATGGCCAGATGCACCCGACACATTTCTGTCTTTTTCACATTTCGAGAGTACTCTGGCGAGGCCCACAGACAGCAGGCAGTACGGAGGGTATATCCATGTGGGCCTCGCTGCACTAGTCTCGAAAAGTGCAAAACGAGAGTGAATCTTCCGCTAGAATATGGAAAGATACACCGCCATTATTTTTGTCTTTTGTGCATGTCGAGAGTAGTGCAGCGAGGCCCCATGTTAGTCGAAATCAATCAGAGCCCCCAACCAACGCTGAAGGAGTTAATAACAACTCACCCCCCCCCCCCCCCCCCCCCCCGCGCAATCAATCAGCACCCCCAAAAATGGACGACGATGAAGCTCGTGTGTTGATTGATCACAGTCGTGGCGAGAGTATGCTACCCTCTTCCCCAAAATACAACCTACTGCATCTAGACTGAATGCTGCCCTAAATACAGCCAATACAACCTACTGCATCTAGACTGAACGCTGCCCTAAATACAGCCAATACAACCTACTGACTGCATCTAGACTGGAAGCTGCGCTAAAAAAGACAGCCAATACAACCTATTGCATCTACACTGAAAGTCGGCCTAAATACAGCTATAATGACCGCACGTTCTGTTCGGTGTGGACGACGGTAGGGAGGGTGAGGGGCACGCTGCGAGGGCTAGAGCACGAGCCCACGCGAAGCCGGTTCCAATGCAGATCATCTTTTTTTACCTGGGG